CCGAATACCATCCGCTAGCCAATGTCGACTGTCAACCCCTCGGGGGAGGGCCTTCTCTGTGGCTGCTCCAGCACTCTGGAACGATCTCCCCATGGAGATTCGGACTCTCACCACCCTTCAGGCTTTCCGCAAAGCTATCAAGACCTGGCTTTTCTGGCAAGCCTGGAGCTGATGAGTTCCCAGCCCCACTTGAATTGTTGTGACTGTTGTGTTGTTTTTAATCTGTGTTTTTTGTATTTGTTTTTTCCTGTTTTGTTGTTGTATTCCCCCTCTCCCCACCTTGTTTGTTAGCAGCCTTGAGTCCCTCAGGAATAGGGCGGCATACAAGTGTAATAAACATACAAACAAACATACATACATCTACTTTGGCTATGTCTAGCAATGCACCTGAAAACCATGATTTGTGGGTTGTTGATAGTGGAGCATCACAGTTCATTGCTAGAGATAGAAAAAGGTTTGTAAAACTGACCACGAGCAAGGAACAAGTATTTTTTTGCAAATGGATGGAGGGTGAGGGCGTCTGGTGAAAATAATGCATATTGTTCATTCCTAAATGATCAGTTACCAACGTTATATGTACCTAACCTGAAGTTCAACTTCACTATCAGTTAGAGCTCTGGTTGACATTGGCTATGTGGTAACCTTCAGGGGAGATATCTGTATTATTGAAAAGGAAGATAACAGGGTTACTGCTACTTTAAAAAACAGTTTGTATGTTATACCGGATGGCCAGATGGCTAACACAGCTTATCATAATGTTAAACCCCATGGTGAATGCATACATTTACTACACAGATGATGGGGCACATTAATTTCAAGATGCTGCAACAAACTGTTAAGTTGGCAGAAGGAGTAAAAATAAAAACATGCGGAAAAATATTTAAACTGCAATGTTTGCAATCAGGAGAAAGGCAAAGTTACTCCAGCAAACAGACTGAATGGTTTTAAAACAAAGGAACCTCTGGAGGTTCTTTTTGCTGATATAATAGGACCCAAGAAACCCAGTTTGGGAGGTGCCTGTTATGTTTTGAGTATCATGGATCATTATTCATGATACGGTTTCTGTTACTTAATGAAAAACAAAACAGAAACGTTTCAGAATTTCTTTAATTGGCTGAGTTTTGCGGAAAGAAAGATGAAAGCCAAGGTAGTGCCGTACAGTGATCAGTGTGAGCTATTGTAAGTTTTGCAACTGCTAGCAAACGTTGTGCACCAGACTGTTTGTATGATTATGGACTATGTTATTTGGATTATCCCTTAACTGAAAGACATTGATGACTGACTGTCTTAACCGTGTATGACTTGGACTGCTTGATGGACTCTGATACCTCTATTTCCACAAAAGTAAAAGCCTATTTAAACTGCAGGGTCTCTGTATGGTTTGTGTGTTCTCCAACACAACTCTCACAATGCTTCTCTGGAATGCACTCGCTCTCCCAATGGGGAGCTTACCTAATAGTGTGTGTGTGCACACACACCCGCCCCCTGTTTTGGACCTGGAAAGCCTCCTGCACCAACCTGGAAGCCAAAAATGGGAGAGGGGGGTGCATGCAAGAGGATGCGGTTGCATGCATGGGGTGGTGGGCTGCATTCAAGGAGGTACTCACATTGCATTTTGGGTTTTTGTGTACGTGTGCGCTTTGGGCACTTGGTACCCAAAAGGTTAGCCATCACTGGTCTATATAAAACTTCAGAGATTGTATATCTTGCATAATTCACTTGCCAGAGGTAGTGGATAAGCAACAGGAAATGTCAAACCTGGCCTTTGGGCTTTCTATAGGCGGATACAAGAATGTTACTCCATCCCTGTCCCAATTTTTCTATTATGTATTGTCTGCATTTATCTAAACCAGACTGATACCTCCAAAAGCATTTCCTGTTTGTTATTTTGCTGCCGTAAATGGACTAACTCTAATCTTTGGCTATTTTTTTGTTTCTTTAACTCTATTTTTTTTTCAGATCTCTTCTTCAGAAGTCGGAAGGAACCATCTGACCGGGGTCTACTTCATAAGCTACTCTGGTTTGAAATGCAATTGGATTGATAGTCTTGCTCAGGTGCTTCAGCCAACATATTAGGAGCACCCTTAAGCCACTGGCAACATACAATGCCTGTCTCCCTTAATTAATCCCTCCCCCCAAATGTGATATTTCTGCAGCTCTGACTTTTTCAGCTGACATTTTCCTGCAGTTTGGCGTTTCTCAAAAACGTATGAAAAACCTCAGCAAGAAATTTTGACTTATGCAAATTGCTGTTGCGGTTACTCTTGTGACTATTGCTTTTTTTCTGCTGCTGTTTTAAATAAACCAGGGTTTTCCCATGTCAATATCTTCCTGTTTGATATTTTTTTTAAAAAAAAAATCTCTAGTGTGGTGAATGTGAAAAAGACATAAAATACCTATCTTGGAAAAATTCCAAAATGAAAAGGATGACGTGAATCTAACTGGCAGTACACAGCTTATAATCGATAGCTTTGCAACCAGTTGAAGTTATGACAAACCTCCCAGGGGTTACTTACAATGTAGATTCAAAGTTCTGTTGGTTTCCCCCCACCCCCTTCAGTCACTCCCTGCCTCCCCAGGTTAAAATATTCTTTATTCTTAATATTAAAAGAGGTAGTAGGATAGAATATTTCCCCAAAGGAGAAATAGAGAAACATGTTCTTAAAGGCAGAAAGCAACCCCTGTCTTCCTACCACAGTAAAACAGCTTCCCAGTCCTTAGGAATGGAGATTTTGTATCCATTCAAGAAGACTGGGCCAATCTATTCATAAACAAAATGCACAGAAGTCTGGAGCTGATGGGATTAAAAATCTACATTCCTCCACTCAAATTCTAAGGATGGGACATGAACTTGAGGACATAACAGAATTAACCTACCCCCATTGAAGTAGCAAAGGGCACAAGGCTCACTACATTGCACAACCACCTGGAGCATCTCAATCACCCTATAGAGATCCACCCACTCATTCAGCCATTTTGTCAGCCACCCCAGAAACATTGCTGCTGTCAGTGAAGTTTCTGGAAACCAAATTAACCTTCTTTTCCCGCAGTCAGCCTCCATTTTATTTCCAGCAACTTTCTCCTGGCTTAGAATTAGACAGGATTTTTCCCCCCACATCAGGATGCAGTTACCATTGCAAAGGCATACTGGTTGCTGAGTGCCCAAACTTGGTTGCATGATTGTCAGGATGCTGCAAACTGTCATAAGTACAAGGGCTGATTATAAGTCACTTTTTTTCAGTGTCGTTGCAACTACGAACAGGTGCTGGATGAATGGTTGTAAATGAAGTACTACCTGTAGTTTCCAGTTAGATTAACTATAGGGAAAATACTGTCCATTTAATCTTGGAAAACTAGCCAATCTAGAACCAATGGACTTGAATATGTTCATTAGGGGGAATTGTATGGGGTTTAAGATCAAAGTAAAACCTGTTTTTTTGCATCCTGTCCAGAAAAAAAAAGAGGGCTTTGAAGAAGAGCCTTCAAAGAAATGAGTAAATCTGGTGAGGAACTTTGTTTGTGGCTTTTGGGGAGATAGTGAGGTAGTCAGTAACTCAGGAGTGAAATGCTACTGGTTCAGGCCGGTTTCCCCAAACTGGTAGCAAAAAATGCTACCAGTTCGGGTGAATCAGTAGTCAGCTGTGCCACAAAATTTATATTTGCTAGAAATTGTGCAGCACAGCTGATTGTTGTACAGCTGATCATCTTAACTTTTAAAAACTTTTTAAAGTATTCTTTTACTGTCAGTTTGGATGAACCGATAGTAAAAAAAAAAAAGCTTTAAAAAGTGTTTTTAAAGTACCCATGATCAGCTGTGTGACAAATAGCTGTGCCGCACAATTTATATTTGCTAGAAATCATGTGGCACAGCTGATTGTTGTACAGCTGATCATCAGAACTTTTAAAAACTTTTAAAGCATTTTTTTTATAACCAGTTCGGTGATTTATGTTCTCTAGAAAGCAAGAAATCCTGCTTTCAAGTGAATGTAAATTGTGTGGCACAGCTGTTCCCTCCTTGCTGTACTACTTACCTTTACGGACTCAGAAAAGGCTTCTTAGTACCTGCAGTGCACATGTGCGTGAAGCGAACTAGTAGCAGACTTCAAAGAATTTCATCCCTGGAATAACCATTCCTTGCTGGGAGGTCCCCTGCAGGATGCTAATGCTATGAAGTAGATCAGGGATCTCCAAACTCGGCCACTTCAAGACTGGTGGACTTCAATTCCCGAATTCCTCATACTAGCTGGAGAATTCTGGGAGTTGAAGTCCACCAATCTTAAAGTGGCCAAGTTTGGCAATCCCTGAAATAGTTTATTGGAGAAGATGAACTTTCTAATGTGTTCAAGACTGCTCTATTTTCTCCCTCATGATTACTGTTGGAAGAAACATCCATCTGGGTTCAGTTCCAAGTGGGGAGAAAGACACTAGAAATATGGAGGCTGATTGGAAAGATGATTTATTGATGGATAGGACCACATGGGTTTTAGGTTCTGGGTAGCTGAGCACATGGAGTTGAGAAAGAGAGAGAGGTATTTATACCCTCTCTTGGCCCTTGCTCTTGAGTTTCCTGTTTCTGTGGTGTGTATTGTATTGGTTTCTGTCAGACTCCCATGAGGCCATGCAGGGTCATAGCTAACTTTGTAGGTTAGCTGTGTCAAGCTTGGTGGGTGATATAATGTCCCCAGGTGATTTTGCAATGCAGTGAGCCCTGCTGCTAGATGAGTAGAGGGCTAATCCTATTATGTCCTGAGGGTCATGTCTTAATCCCATCTCCCTGGAACTGAAGTTCTAATTGTCTTGTAGATAGGCTGCCCCAGTCTTAATGTGCACCAAATATAATTTTCTACCTTTTTAATATTTCCTACAATATTGCATTCTTCTAGGAGAGGGATGGGTGCTAACTTTCTACACTACCATTAAGTTAACATTTTTGTCTCTAGTGTTCTGAAAACCAGAAACTACAGTAGGAACCAAGGGAAAAGGAATACATGTAATATTCATTCTACTTCTGAAACTTCTTTTGAATTCAGGCCCAGTCTTTTAAGTCTTTCAACTCACTTGTGGTCAGCTCAGACACAAACTTAACCAGTGTGGTTTACCTTTATAGAATTTTGCAGCCCCGTATTGTTTCTTAATGAAGGGGAAAGCACAGCCTATGGTGATCTAATAGATTTACAGTTGGAAGGGACCTTGTAGATCTTGTAGTCCAATTCCCTGCCCAAGCAGGAGACCCTACACCATTTCTAACAAATAGCAGTCCAGTCTCTTCTTGAAAGCCTTCAGTGATGAAGCTCCCACAACCTCTGAAGGCAACCTCTGTTCCATTGGTTGATGGATTTCACAGTTAGAAAGTTTCTCTTTATTTCCAGGTTGAATTATTCTTGATCAGTTTCCATCCATTACTCCTTGTCTGGTTTTCTAAATTTAGAAGAAGAGGATCAACTCTATTTTTGGCTCAGGAAAAAAAACCTTCTGTGTAAATGTACCCATTGCATTAAATGAGAATTTCTCTTTTCTTTTCTTTTCTTCTCTTCCCTTCCCTTCCTGTAGGAAGTTAGCACCCATCCCCCTCCTAGAAGAATGAAATATTCTAGAAAATATTAAAAAGGCAGAATATTATACTTCCCTGGATGAGAAAAGATGAAACATGCCCTTGAAAGCAGCTCCCCCTTTTGCTAATGACCCCAGAATGACTGGTGCCAACCTATCTACAAGACAAAAGGTTGGGCCATCTTATCTACAACACAAAAGACATTCACCCTCAGGACATAGTAGGATTAGCCCTCTACCCATCTCACCACATGCCACCTGGGAAGATTACATCACCCAGCGGGATTCAACCAAGCCTGACACTCAAGACAACCTACAAAGTTGCCCCTGCATGGCCCCATGGGAGTCTGACAACCAATCAGAATACATTTCTTTTATAGGAATAGGAAGCAAATTCAAAGCCCAAGATAAATATATCTCACGCTCCACTCCATGCAGTCAGCTATCTAGGACTTCAAACCATGTGATCCCCATTAAACCATCTTTCCAAGCAGTCTTAAGATTAATCTTTTATTACATTTTCATTTTCCTTTATACAATCACTTAAATACTGTGCAGTTAAAAAAAANGAGGAACCAATTAGGTGGTTCCACCCCAGGCGCCTAATGGACCCTTCGGGTTTTCAGACAGCGCTTGGTGTTATTCCTGATACTCTCATCCACAGTCCGGTGGAGACCTTGGTTGCTGCTTGGAACTCAGCGGCGGTGGAGGCTCTAAACCGGATTGCACCTTTACGACCTCTCCGAGGTAGCGGATCCAGGAGAGCTCCTTGGTTTACTGAGGAACTCTGGGAGATGAAACGCCAAAGAGATGCCTAGAGCGCCGCTGGAGGGCCAGTAAATCTGAGTCAGACCGAGCACTGATGAGAGGCTTTATCAGAGCCTATCTCATGGCAATACGGGCGTCAAAAAGTGCATATTTTGCCGCTCTGATTGCGTCCGCTGAATCATGCCCAGCCACTTTGTTTAGAATAACCCGCGCCCTCTTGAAAGGGAGGGATGCGGGTGACCCTTTACAAGGTAGAGCTGAAGAGTTTGTTCAGCTTTTAGCGGATAAAGTTGCTTAGATTTGCTCAGAGCCAGTTGAGGTACTGGGGGAAGGTCTTGAGCGGAATTTATGGATTGATTTTCAACTTGTCACACCTGAGGAAGTGGACAAGGCCATGGGAGCGGTGAGTGCCTCCACTTGCATACTGGACCCGTGCCCCTCCTGGCTGGTCACGAACAGCGGGGAGGTGACACGTTGCTGGATCCAGACGATAGTTACCACCTCTCTTCAGGAGGGATCCTTCCCACCCCTTCTAAAGGCGGCAGTGGTGAGACCCCTCCTGAGGAAGCCGTCTTTGGATCCAGCCATCTTAAGTAACTACCATCCAGTTTCCAACCACCCCTTTGTTGGGAAGGTTGTTGAGAAAGTGGTGGCCTTTCAGCTCCGACGGTCCTAGGATGAAACTGATTATCTAGATTCCTTTCAGTCCGGATTCAGGCCTGGCTACAGCACAGAAAATGCTTTGGTCGCACTGATTGATGATCTCTGGAGAGCCAGGGATGGNCATATATGCATATATGCATATATGCATATATGCATATATACATATATACATATATACATATATACATACACACACACACTGAATTAGATCAGTAGATGGGAATGTGAAAGTAGATAATTAAATAAATACTATTCATCTTGAATGTAATTTAAACAATGTTGGGAATTTAAAATGTTAATGATTGGGAAAGGGGAATTCA